GTTCAAGATAAAATATATCAAGTTCATAAATCTATAAACTAAACATAAAGCAAACTAGTCCAATGAAAAAAAGAGTTTTGGGACATAGGAGGTTAATAAAGAAGAAAGCCACAAGATAACTTGCGGTATAAGTAAACATTGAGAAAACCAAGTCAAGGGTTGAGTTCTACCATAGGAGAGGACCAACCAAAACATACTCAGCTCTAGAACATCCTAGCCTTGTGTCTCGTCTTTGATCACCGGAGCAATTGCTTTCCTTTTAACCCCGGAAGAAGTTGCAACTGGTCCAACAGTCATTAGATCATTATCTCTTTCCAATTTTACTGCAATGCCAGCAACTACACCATTTTGAGAGACAGATGGTAACTCAATCTTATCATCTTCTTCAGCTTTGATTGGTACCAATGGCTTCACATCTTCCATATCTGTGGAGGATGGAACCGAAGATTTCGTCTCCAAACCTTCAGTAGATTCTTGTTCCATCTCCTCATTTTCTTGTTCTTTGAAGTATAGATCTTTTATTTTGTCCCAACCGTGGGCGAGTCTGTAGTTCAAATCAAATCACATTGAAATAAAAAGTGTGTATAGAGAAAATATCGACCAAATAAAGGTGAACATAAAATATAACGTAGAGAATATGTTTAAGAAGTAACTTGAAACCTAGAACTAGTAAGACAAACAAAATTTAAAAATGTTTCAAGAAGTACCTAAGTTTACTGGCAGGATTGGGACCAACATCATTATAGCAGATTGGACAACATTTGAAATCTCCTTGTGCTATCTTTCCATAGATGCATTCCCGACAAACTGTTTACAAAGATTTAACAAGTCTTCAGTTCTCAAATCAGATACAACAAATTAAGGTTTTGAAGGCAAAATTATGAAATCACTTTAAACTCTATCCAAAGAATAACTAAACCTAACTTCTAATCTTTAGAACAAAATATGATTAGTTGTTCAGACCATAAGATATCTAAAAAAATTTCAAATGAAAATGGTAGAAATCAATCATAAGATATTTAGCCCTTATTGACAAAAGAGAGAGAGAGATATTTAGACCCTAAGAGTAATTCTGGATACTTTTATTTAACAAATAAAAAAACAAAATTTAAATAGATATATCTCACTCATAATTAGATATATCATTTCTTAATTAGTCGTTTATATGCGAATAACTTAGATACTAGATAGTGAATTGAGGACTCACACATGTGAAAGCAATCGCTTAAGATTGTGGCTTCGTCAAATATACTGAAACACAGATACCACAACTGCATATTTCTCTCAGCTTTCCCATCGTCTCAATATCCATCCCTATCATCTCCTCTTCGTCTTTGCTCATATTCCTACAAAAAACAATATTAAGCAAATGAA